GGAAAACGGGGGTAGCCAGGCTCCCACAAAAATACCCTGTCAGATAGAAACCGGCGCCCAAGCCTGGTGGACAGTACCAACGGCGCTCTGCTGGCGACGCTGCATCCACGGCACCACCAACACACGATACCCGCCTTCGCCACTTCGCCTTTCCACTTCTACGTCCGCCCTCGTATCTTTTCTCTTCAACGATACCCCAGTTGGTGTATTTCCTACGTTTCACCCCGGTTTTCTTGCGACCACCCAGTTTCTTCTACGCTACCCCTTCCTGGCCTACCGACACTCGAAATAACACGATTCTAGCTGTTCCCACTGCTCGTCTTCCGTTTTTCGTAATTTCCACCTTGATCATTTATGAAATTTAAATGTTAGAATCGAAAAACGGGTCGGCGGAGTGGAAGAAGGATGTCAGCGACAGAAAAAGAGGAGAACGGTAGATGGTAATTCCGCGAAGGAGCCCGGCGCGTCGGGTCGAAGGATCGATTTTCAAGGAAGATGGCGTCCTGCCGTAGCCTCCACCCTGTGCTACCCTCTCCAAGCCACCATCTCCCTGCACGTTCGCGGAACGTACACGATAGAGACAGACGGAAACACACCGGGCCGGGCTGTTCGCCGCTACCCCTCGCCCTCTTCGAGCTCTCTCACGGTCGATGAAGTGGAGGCTCCTCTCCTCTTCTCCCTCTTCTTGTCCTCGCTCCTTCTATCCTTCTAGCTACCCTCTCGCTCTATCTTCACGCTATCCCTGCTCGCACCCACCGACCGCCAGCGCCCACCCTCTCTCACTACTCATTCTTCCTAGTCACTTACTCGGTGCTTTCGAAAAATAAAGGGAGATAAGGGAGCGAACGAGACGGAGGAACGACTGGGTCGTTGAAGAACCCCCGAGAGAGATAGGCGGTAGAAGACGGCAGCCGGGGGTTCATTATGCTTCTCGAATCGTAAACAAACAAACAGCCGCGAGTCGACGGGATCCTTGTACACGGAGCCGCGAGGATCGTAGGTAAGAATCCTCGCGGAAGGCCGGCGGCAGCGGATAGCCGCGATTCCACGTGGCACACGGCAGTCGAGCAGCGCACGTCCCGAACTATACAAGCCTAAAATATATCCGGCGCCCGATGGAAAACAATCTGGGGATGAAGTTGACCCGGAAATTTACTCAAATAGCAACTCGGTATCTTTAGTTTGAACAGCGCTCTGTTCCCCGACCGGATACAATACGTAACCGTGAGGATCTTTGGGGCTGGGCTGAGCGAAGATATCCTGGCAATTAAACTCTTCTACATATGCGTGCGCGCGCACGTCGCCGCTTGACAAGTTTGGAGTTAGTTGTTTGAGGAACAGAAACCTTGGATTTTTCTTTTTCTATTCTTTTTTATGATGGGATAAATAGATTGTTTAGATTTTGAGGGATCTTTAATCACTGGACATTGATGTGAGGAAATGATGAGTAAAATATAGACCTTTGTACGTTCCCGTGGAGTATAAACGTAAAAGACATGATAGAGTGGAAAATATAATTGAATTCCAATGTTGCTTTTATTTCGATGTTAATTTATTGAAATTATTGACGAATAATGTGAAGTTATGTTTAACTGTATTCTTTTTGTATATTGCAGCGTGGAATTTTTCTTTTATAAAAATATGGGCACTGATGGTAACATTACAATTATTTACTTGCGTTCATTTAAAATTGTCTCTTTAAAGTACATTATATTTCACTCATGGAAGTAAGTTTCTTCTTTGTTAATGATGTTTTTGTCGTGGAAAGACATTCATGTAACGAGGAGAGGAGACACTATGACACTCGCGGTACAATAAAATAATTTTAAACGAGAATGTCTCGGAATTCTAATAAGTAAAGTAGGAATTCTAGTAAGTAAAACTACTCGCGGATTGTAAATTAGATAAAATAAGTGGAATGGCACTGCTTGCTAAAATGAAGAACAAACAGACCGTAGGATAGAAAACCTTAGTGAACCAACTAACATTAGT